AATCCAGGTAGAAAATTCAACTGTGGTTTGTCAGACTGATGAAGTCCTTTGGAAGAAAGACAAAACATCTCCAAAAAAAAAAAAAAAAACATCCAGATGACTTGATTTAACTTTGTTGTATTTTCTACCTGGATTATTGAACATGAACTTTGATGTTTTGAACCACTTTGGCTATGACTACCTCAGAGGAGTCGACGGGGGAGAAGGCGGGCCCCAAAAATCATCTTATCATCAGCAAACTGGTTGGTCCACTATGTGGGTGTGCTGCTTGTGGGACTGAGTTTGTTTTGGCTCCTTGAATTGATGAAGTCCTTTGGATGAAGGATGAAACGTCTCATCAAAAAAGCAAACCATCCAGATGACCTGACTGAACACTGTTGGATTTTTTTTTACCTGGATCATTGAGCATGAAGTTTGATATGCCCATACCTACCAACCAGGGAAGCTATAACTCATTATAGAGTCATGGCGGGCGACACTCAGATCTCCGCTATCGACGAGCCTGCTGGATGATTCAAGCAGCACACCTGAGACGTAAAGACAGTTAAGGCAAGCCAGACAAAGTCAGTACAGAACAGTTATTAACAAGGTGACAAGCTGCAGACGTGCCCATTATTAAACAAAACTTGGATCATTTTTCTAATGTAGTACTTTTATACATATATCTAAAGAAATGATTCAGTCCTGACATGCTTCCTCCTCAGAAATAAATATGTCTAAGGTTTTATTACCCTTTAAAATGATGTGTTTAAACCATCGCTGTGTGACAGTCACTGAGAAGAACCAGTGCTGTTTCTGCTTTAATAAACTTTGACCGACAGGGGATAAGATACACATTTTATTTGGTCATTTTACAAACTGAAACATGCAGTATATGAGAGTTTTTATATCTTTTAACTATACGTTTTATTTATTGTTTGAGCCACAGCAGATTGATCAAGTAGTGGCGTGTCACTTTATTGTGCTCTTGTTTATGTTTACCTAATTAATCTGAAGGTCAAGCTGATGAGTTTGTGGTTAATGAACCAGTTCAGAGGAATTCGCCAAAGAGACGTCATCAGCACCATTGATAGGAGCTCGCCGGCCATGGCAGTCAATTTCTTTCAAACTGTGCTCGTAGCACTGACTGAAAAAAAAAAAAAAAAACACGTGATCTTCAGTGAAGTGCCATTACAAAAAGTTATCATAGAAGCGTTGTTGAAAAAGATATTGTCTTTTGAAAGGTAGCTCGAAACCAATTTTATTGCAGGCATTTCTTGACACCAAAAACTTCACAAGTTTTTTTTTTCTTTATCACAAGGCAAAAATATTTTCTGCTCTTATGTGTTTAAAATACATCATGAACAAACATAGACTCTGTGCATCTTTTTTTTTTTATCTTAAACTTGTTCTTTGTGGCATTTTCATTGGCTAATGTGGAAAAATGCCAGAGGCAGCGTCCACTTCCTGTGTAGAAACAAATCAATCCTGCACGCTGCCTCCCTGCGGATGTGTCTGATCAATCAGTTGCATTCTGACAGTCCACGCAGGCAGAACGCAGCAGTGAAAGGAAACTAAATTTGTAGACAGATGTGTCATACATCGCACACAAGTTTAATTGTGATTAAAAAATGATTGATCATTTGCATTGATTACTAGCATTTGTGCATATTAATGCAGAATAAATAAAGCTTGTAAACATCCACACCATGCAGGCTGCATTTCGTCACCAATGGATCACTTTGTTATGCAACGTGTCCATGTGGTACTGCAGACACACAACTATCTAAAATCTATTATTTCTGATGACACTCCCTGGAAACAATTTAAGTGTCAGATTTAAAAAAAAAAAAAGTTGATGTGAATGTTACTTTTCTCATTTAAAGTCAGGGTTTGTTGAATTCTGTGTTTGAATGAATTTAAAGCAATCGGATGAAGAATGAATTCTTAACTGAGTTGATACCAAATGGAATAGAAGCTAAAATTAGCAAAACAGTTGCTAGAAGCACAAACAGTAACAGCTAAAATTAGCAAGACGGTAGCTAAGAGCTAAAATAGCATAAGAAGAAAAACTGGAACAAATCTGCTGTGGTGGATTACAGAGAACGGTTTGTTTTGTTTTGAACTTATTGAAGAGATCTCCATGTTTTTCTATGATATGTTTTTTGTAAATACAGTTAAATATAATTTTAAAAAGTTACTAAAACTCATAGATCAATCCAGCCAAATGTTTTGGCATATGTAGTTAAAATAGCACAAAGCATGCAAAAATACTAAACAGCATTCATAGAATGGTATTACATTCCTCTCCATCTAGTTCTGGGGTCTGCAACCTGTGGTTCTGGGGCCACACGCAGCTCTTTGGTCCCTCTGCAGCGGCTCTGTTTTGACCAAAACTAACATAAAACTAAAGTTTATTGGTTGCTGTACCAACAAAAAAAAAGGCTAATTTTAGCAGTTTTCCAAACATTTTTTTTGCTACCATGTGAATGATACTAACACAAGGAGTCAAGCTTGCTGACTACATCATGCTAATAGTTTGTTAGCCACTTCTGTTAGCTCACTTCCAGTCTTATCTTTTTCTCAAATCCACCAAATGTTTTGGGGGGAATACCTTTAAGGCAAGTTGTAGAGAAGAAATATGGTGAGTCATCTTGACAATGATAAAAATTAAAGAAAAAAGTCAAAGTAAATGGAAATACTTATTTTGATTAAAAATTTAGTTGCATATCCAACAAACTGGCCTAATTTTTTATGTTATGCTTTATTAATTCATAATCGGAAACTTTATCAATTGATTCCACAATTACAAAGAAAGCTCACATAAGCCTGCATAGTTGTGTTTAATATATATATATATTTATATACATATCTATCTATATATACATATATATATTCGTTTTTTACATAAATCCAGTCTTTTCTTTTGCCCCTAAAATATAAAAATATCAATAAATATGAATAATAATTTGATATTTTACTTTCATAATATCACACCTACTGTCTGGAAAAGCCCCCTCTAAAAAGCTTGAAGTGGCCCATGGGCCACCAGTTGATAATCACAGTTTTGGCAGGTTTTGTGTCTCCATAAACATTTTATTTAGTGTGCAAAGGGGCAGAAACGGCTCTTTTGACCAAAAAAGGTTGCAGACCCCTGATCTAGTACAACACATTGATACCCTTAAAAAAACAATCTAGAGTGTAGAATAAGATTATTTTCCATAGTTTATTGAAAGAGTCGAAGAAAATTGTACGAGAAGTTCTTTCCATTCGTGTCATTGTAAAGACTTCCAGCAGAGCAGACTGATGTTGTACAGGACCCACCGAGACGTTCACAGAACTGGAGCAAGTCAGTTTGGTGAATTATACACGATGAAGTGAGCCAGGAATTTGGGCCACAATTCAATATTAAAGTAGCAGCAACACGTGTCAAAAAAGAACTTGAGTCAAAATTCTCAAAGATGCACACTCAAAACCCTCATGAAGTCGTGTTTTTATAATGCATTAACGTCATGCTCATTTTTTTCCCCATTATTTTATTGAAAAAAACAAACACCAACACATAAATAGTTTTCAGTAACTGCATTATCACCATACAGTGTTGGAATATAATTTACAAAAGATTAAAAAAAAGCAGCTGCACAATCTGGTTTCTGCATGGAGATGGGATAAAAAGTAAAAAATAACAACCAACACCAGCGTTTAGATGTTTGACCATCCCTGTAAAGCCTAAAGTCAGCTAAGTCCTCTGTAAGACGAAATAAAGTGATGTCCATCCCTGTAGGAAGGGATTCTGCAACGAGCTCACTAGAATCAGAGTGCTGAACTAACACGCCCATTACAAGTCCAAGCTCTGCACTTTTTATCTACCATGAACACTGATGTTTAGGTAAACTAATAATGCAGCATTTAAGTAGTCAACCACTGTTTAGATGAGGAAAAGAATTCAGGTTTTATGTCATAACAGATGAATCAGTGCGGTTTCACAGAAGTACACAGAACTCAGTAAAAGGTTTCTTCTCCTTTAGGGGAAAATAAATTCTGATGAGGAAACTGCATTGACGCTTTAGAAAACACACCTTAAACATGCTTGTCTATAGGTAGAAATAACACTAAATGATGCATCTGCAAACTTAAAAAAAAACAATAATACAGTTTGGCTCTGAGATTTCCGTTTATACAATATGTAACTTAGCAGCACTTATTGTCAACATTCACCGCCTTCGCCCGGGATCGAGCTTCCCATCGCTTCCTACCACAGAACAGTTTATTGCACATTAAAACACACAGTTCTGTAAGAGGTGGCAGCAATCTGCATTAAAAGCCACATTTTCAAAGTTTCTACTTTCTGTGAGACCTAATGCAGTGTGTGCTCAATCAAACCCAAACCACCTGAGTTCTTCTGCAGGGACTGAAACTTCTGTTAAGGCACACATTGCAAAAGATTCTGCACATAAATGATAGGTTGAGGAGAGTAGTATACTCATATTGTGTGCAAAAAGTATACAGTCACAGGACAAGGCCAACACAGTTCAGAAGACGTAACAAAGTTTGCTAAGAGACCAGCTCATTAACAAATAATACCCTAGTTTGGGGTTGGTAATTTAGGTTTTTTAAATAAAAGTATATATATTAAAATATATTCATTTGGATTTGCTTTATACTTGTTTTTAATTTTCAAGTTCAAATGTTTTGTCACCAGATTCAAGCACGTGACTTTTTGTGTTTTACACAAAAGATTCATAAAGTTCAGGCCAATAAATGCAAAAGTGCAAACAAAGATTGGTTTTCTGAATCAGACTTGCAACCAGAGGCTGAAAATATTTAAAGAAACTGGCTGCATTGTGGGTATGTGATGGTGGTGAACGCATTGCAGCCTTGTGGTTCCATGCATGCAGGTAATGTATCACCAAATTCACCATAACTCTTGTTTGGTTGGTATTTTGTGCATAGACTGCTGAATGCCCAACATAAATCACAAGCTTTCACAGTCTGCCCTTCATTATTTAAAGAAATGGCTGGACTAATGTTAAAGCTAAATTTAACATCCCCTGTGGCTTTTTTCACCGGTCATATTTCTGATTCTGTTGTCAAGGGCCTTGATTCTAAAGGCAAAGGATCCCGGTTGCATTCAGAGCTTGAACCTCGATCAGCGCTTGCGTCCTCAAGTGGAGCAACCTCGAGGTCCCTCATCAACCTGTTTTCTGCCTCTTCAAACTCCTCCTCCAGCTCAGCTTTTTCCAGCGCCACTTCGTTCTCGTAACAAAAGGAGTTCCTCACACTGGAAGCATCGGATTTCCTCTCGGCCAGGTCTCTGGCGCTACAGGAAGGTGTGCTGGGCACTTCGTATGTGTTGTCAAATCGAGAGTAGTCTACTTTGTAATAGTTCTTTTCCTCAAAGAGCACTGGCTCAAAGCGGTGACCCCAGAGGATCTCGCTAGCCACGTAGGAGCTCCGACACTGAGTTGTCATGGCCGTGGCCTCGACCATGCCCTCGAGGATCACCACAATCTCAAACTCTGACGTTTCCAACTCCTGTTTGCTCATCTCGTAGAAAGGACTCTCCTCGTCAATCTCGTGCACAATGGTGATAGGAGACACCAGGAAGATTCTGTCGATGCCGCTATCAAAGCCCACATCGATGTCCACTTGATCCAGAGGGATGAACTCTCCCTCTGCTGTGGTGCGGGACTTGAGGAGCTGGGCCCTTACGTGGGCCTCCACCAGGTGACTCTTCCTCAGATTCCCCACCCGCCACATCAGGCAAAGTTTACTGTCCCTCATAGCTACCGTGGCATAATGGCTGAACACCAGGGTCTCGTTTCTTTTCTTAGGCTTTGCCATCTTGGCCATGACAGCACCAATAATAAAAGCATCAATGATGCATCCCACAATGCTTTGAAATACCACCATGAAAACGGCAATGGGGCATTCCTCTGTCACATAGCGATAACCGTAGCCAATTGTGGTTTGGGTCTCAACTGAAAACAAAAAGGCAGCCGTGAAGCTGTCCACGTTGGAAACGCATATTTGAGTGTCACTCTCTAAGTCCCCATAACAGAGGGCCACAACCCAGAAGACAAAGCCAAAAATCAACCAGGACAATAGGAAGGAGAGGCAGAATACGACCAGCATCCAGCGCCAGCGAATGTCCACACAGGTGGTGAAGATATCTGCCAAGTACCGCTGGCCTTTTTCACTCATGTTGATAAATTGCACATTGCAGTGGCCGTCCTTGCTGACAAAGCGGCTCTGAGGTTGGTGCTCTGTGTGCCTCTTGCTGACATCGCCATTCCCGTAGCCATTTGGGACAGTGACGGAGGCCAGCTTCATGCCATCCTCCTCCGAGGACACAATGCTGTAACGGTGGCTTCGCAGGCTCCCCATCACTTCCAACTGAGGGGGCTGGGCCGCTTCTGATTTGGAAAACAGTCTAAGTTTTTGGTAGAAGCGTTGGAGAAACAGTTTTGAATGCTGCGGTGGACAATCTCGAGTAGAAAATGTGGACAGCAGGACTTTAGCCTGTAGGGAGGACTCTGGGCCTGAGCGTCTCGGGCAGTGCTGCTGACGGTGAGGGCGGCTCACTCCTCTCTGACGCTCGTTTTAAACCTCATCTGTGATCAGAGCTGTGAAAATAATAAACAGAGACAAAAGATTTAATGGAAGAACAGAACATGTGTTGTATGTAATAAGGCTTATTTATGAGACTTGATTTAACGACTTGGGGTATTAAAAAAAATACAATTCAAGTTGATCTTAATCCACTGCAACAAAAATAGAATCCAAGCAGCAGCTCTGTGCAGACGTGTCCCTGAACTCAACGCAGTGACCACGTTTGAGAATTTTTAGGTCTTTTTATATTTCATTTAATTAGAATTTTAAATGACAAAACCTACAAGAACCAGTTAATGAACCAGTAACCTTGCTTTACACGTAGCAGGACAACAAAGGACAGTTAAATCAGGTATTGACTTGTGGCATGAGGTCCATTAAAATGCAACACCACAGGCTACAGAAGGCCACAGACAACCTGACATGCTCCAGAATAACCACACACCCTCCATTTAAACTTACATTAAATTCATTTTTGAATCACTTTTGAATCATTTCCACTTTAACTAAAAAAGTTAAAGGCCTTCGTGGATTACTTTTAGTTCAGCTTGTTGATAACTTTTATTTTAAACTAGAACAGACAAATAAAACGTGCAATTTTCTGTATTTTTGTTTTATGAGTGATGCGTTTTCACTTTTAAACATAATATATTGTCTCCCAAAATCAGCTGGATCGACTGGAAAAAGTAACCTGCCCTTCTTACTGGGAAAGTAAAGCTGCATTTATTATCATTCTCTGTGCATGCTTTTATCAGGAAAAATAAATAACAGCCAAGTGCTGACATATTCCTAATGGCAAAGACTTAAAATACAAACTAAAAATAAGTTTGTCTCATGTGCTCGCTGACCATTCTGTCATTTTATTGTTTTGTTTTGTTTATTTTGAGTCATCTGTTCTTCTCTGGCTCTCCAGTGAACATAAAGATAACTGTACAGGTTTAAGTGCACAAATCAGATGTTTAACTTGAGATTTAAACCACGTCTGCCATCAGCTGCTCAAGTTGCATTGTCTGCTACTCTCTCGCATTACGTCGCTTCGATAATTTCAAAATGAAGGTTTGTGCAGTCTGTGATTGTTTGTTTTTCATATGTGCTCTCAGTCAGAGCCAACAGCTCAGGCAGATGGAAAGTGGTTATATAAAGCTGTTTTTTTTTTAATTTTCATAAATCAATAACCATGTCAGCCATTGAGCAGAACAAATATTTAAATAAATGCCTGAAAATAATTTTGCTTTGTATACTATATAAATCTAAAAGGCGTTTATATAACTTTTTGAACGTGTGCTTTTTATTTATTTTTTAATCTGAAAGGTCATAAAAGTTCATTTTAACCCCGTTGCTGCACACATATAATGACTTACGATTTATTCTGATTTAGGAAAGGTAGTGCAGAACATTCAATCTATGCTGTGCATTCTAGAAATTAGATGTAACTAAAATAAATCTTAAAAAATTAAACAATAATAAGAATAAAATGTTATGCATTAATAAAACATAATTAACTATATGTGGCATGTATGAAATCAGTTTGTGTATAGCTCTTTAAAATGGGAATACACATCTGTTCATGCACAGTTAAAGTAAAAGAAAATAAAATAAATATAAAGAAGATAATTTTACACCTACCTGTTGGATCCTGGACTTCAAATCTGATCTTCTCTCGTGTTAAACTCCAATCTGCACTTTTCCTCACTTTTATCCTTTCAGCTTGTTGGGTTTCCTCTGCTGGAGCTTTGAACTGTGCCATTACCTTCTGCAGCTGTACTGAAGGAGACAGTTGTGGCAGCAAAGACGACACTTTGACAAAACACGTGCCTGGCCACGCCCCCCTGAGGCGGAAGAGCCAGTGGGAAGCAGGAGCGCCTGTTTCTGCGTCTGATGCCACACGTTTGTTTCGTTTTATTTTTGTGTTTATTTGGTTAGTTTAGAGTTGGAAAACAAGCGAGGTTGCATTTAAAACACTTTTTTTCTAAAGTTTGCAATTAAAACGACGCTGGAAAATGCTCAGAGATTTTTTTTTATCACCTTGTGTGCAAGGTGAACACATGGTGGCACAATTCAGCTTCAAGAGAATAACATTTACCACTATAAAATCACAATGTAAATAATGTAAAAAAAATTAAAAAAGGTCTTAAAACAAACACAAAAGTTAATTTTCCAACTTTATTGAGCTAATTTTATGGTCACACAGAATACACATTTATCAAAGTATAAACAGTACAAATATACTCATATTAGTTTAAAGCCATTAACATCCTTAAAACAGTTCAGTTCATATATTTTTTAAGGTATGCACTGATTTTTAATAGTCCCTCACTACTTCACTGTTCGACTTTTGCGGACTCGTTCTTTCTCAGTTTTTCAAAGTAAGATTGTACATGAGAGAAAAAAAATTGTACACGACACACGATTGTCAACGTTAATATTACTCACATGACTGGGACAGTACTGGATACAATAAAAAGTTCATGTAAAAAAAACTTTGGACAGGCGCTGCCATTTTGTAGTTTTTTCCTCAATAAGACCACACTGTATTGCCACTCAAAAGAAATACATTTCCCAGAAGACCCAACAGTGTTTCCAGCCGTTGCTTTCTGTTGAAATGGAGGGAAAGTTTTGATCCAATCTGAAAAAAAGTTAGTCATTGTGACTTTGGCGCTCAGTGGATGCAGAGAGATGTATGGAAACGACTGGGAATTGTACCAGAGCCGGGCTTCCAGCATCATTGGTCAATCTGGGTGCTGCTTGCCGGTGCAGGGAGCCTCTCCACCGGGGAAGCATTGCTTGGAGGTCTGGTGTTTTCACCGAAGCTCACTGGGACTTTTTTCACCCATATGTGGACTTGATCAGTACCATTGCGTGGTTTTGTTTGCATCTACTGTACTACATACATAAGACATATGTATGTTGTATATATGTACATATATATATATTTATGTTGTTAAAATTGTGTAGGTTTAAGAGTTTAGAACATTACAAGAGTGTAGGAAGGGTTTCTAAAGCGTATATATTATATATATATATATATATACAGTATATATATATATATATATATACACAGTATATATATATATA